TGCATCTCGGAATTTCAATAGTAAAATGACGAGACCGGGCATTCAATCTAATACTGCATTTAAATTCACGAAGTCGAGGTACCAAAGACGAAAGCTTAGCAGAACAAAACTATTGATTAACAATATATACAAACGAGAAAATGACTGTCTTACTCAGAAACGCATAATACGTACTCATAACCATTAAGATTAAAAATAGCTAGGAAAAATTCAGTATTGTAATAATTACGATAATTCTTTGATGAGCTTTTCGCTATCTTTAAGTTTCCGGAATAGGAGTAGATAGATTCGCCTATCGTCCACTTCACACTCCTCTCCGGTTTTTTTGAACAGGAGTAAAGGTTTATTCCTTGTTTCCTGTTTAGTATTTGGTTTCCAGTTCCTTCTAAAATCTTTTAATTCTCTTTCACTCTCAGTGGCCCTTTGCATTATCGCCTTTCTTGGGATGAATTGATTTAAAAGTACCTAAGATATGAATATTATGGCTACGATGGTCGAGATTTTGGAGGTGCTAGAAAAAACCTGGCTTACGAACAAGAAACTTTGAAGGAAGCCATTTTGCTTAGTATCGGTGTTCTTGACCTTAGAATAATCAATTGACACATATAGGTATCATTTTGAAATTAACCTGGAATCGTTTTTCCTCTTATTTCCGAGAAATATTCAATTCATTGAACACAATTTTTCTGTTGTTACCGCAAGTGTTTCGATTGATTCATCCAATGACTTTTTCAGATATACAATACATATGGAAAGAAAGAAATTCTCTCTTTTCTTGCGAGTGTAGATGTTTGAGTAGACATTCCTGTTTATTTACAAATAATTGAAACTAACGTATATCATAGACTAGCAGTAGAGCCCGGCGTTGCCCGGGGATGTAACAGTAAAAGATAGATCAAGTATCGACCATCATAAAGACTGAAAAATAAAATTGACGAAGATTATTGTTTAAGGTTGACGGACACGCATGTCTTAATTAGTTTTATTTTTTTTTTTTTTTACGAATTGGTCAAACCCAAACACAAACAAAAACATTGTTTTCAATCGTTATGAGTCTATCGATTGAATAGAATTTTATTATAAACAATTGTCTTGTAAATGGAATTTCTAAAGCATTCTGAATGTAAAAATAAAGAAAAAAGTGCGCAAGACAATAAGAAACACTACCTGCCAAAAAAGTGAAGTTTTGTTGAAATCGATTGAAAAATGTAGGAAATCCGATCCCATATATAAACGAACACACACACACACACACACACACACACACACACACACACACACACACACACAGCCAACCTGGGTTTTATAATAATTATAACTCGATAACTCGATATTAATAAGTATAACTCGATATGAGTTGTCCCCCTTTCATTAATGCCTCTTAATCGTGTTTTCAAATTGATTTCGTGCAAAACAATTGTGTTTTCCCAATTTTTGGCGCTGTCAGAACCACCGTAAGGTAATTTTACGTAGTCCTGTGAAGTTTTGTTGAAAAATTCTACTGGCTAAAATTTCTGCTGAAACAAAAAAATGAAGGTTGTAACATTGAAAAAGAAGATTCAACAAGAGGTGGCCATGAGAAAATCTGGATCTTGTTCCATTAAATGTCACATCAAATTTGAAGCAATTATTGGAGCTGAAGACAGCAACGTTAATTACTAACTTCATATTTTGACGTTTTTAATCATGAAGATTAATTTTTGAAAAAAATAATTCTTTTTTAACTTATCAAAAGAGCTAAACGGTGAAAATTTCCTTAGTGGCCCAATATTTTTGCATGAGCTTTATTTTAGTATGACTATGCTTGACATATTCGGGAAAGACATTAGAATAATCAAGTATCTATAGTGGCAGCAAACCGCCTTCATACGGACAGAAAATGAGTTCAGCACATATAAAAAAATAGAAAGGAGCATAAGACAAGGAAAACATCAGGAAGAGGCAGTTGAGGTTTCCGGGACACGCAATGAGGAGGGAAGACTTGGCAAACCTGATACTCACAGGACAGATTTCGGGGACGGAGGAAAGCAGCGCGTAACATACTTGGTGGTCTTGAATGGATGGCAGAACAGTATTTGGGAGAAATAACAAATAGACAAAACTTATTAAGAGCTACAAAGAACAGGAAGATGTGAAGGGCCATGATCGTCTCCCTCATGACGGGACACGGCACATAAAAGAATTGGATAGAATAAAGAGATCAATTTTTTGAACTCTGTTTAATCAGCGGAATGAAGACATAACTTTAATGTAAGGGAATAAAAAATGTTCGAGAACTGCTGAAGTACACAATAAATATTGAGAACATCTAGAGTAGTATATAGAATGCTGGAGTGTTACAGATACTTGCTCTCACTTAATATCCAGTGTAAGCTTCTAATTATTACTAGTGTGAATAATAATAATAATAATAATAGTCAGTATCTGTCTATATTTCTGAGATGAGGTATTACGTACACTATTTACATTATTCGTACTATTGCCCCATCTTTGTTGCCATATTTATCACAACGTACGCTCTGGCCTTCTTCTGGTGGCTGAAATGTCGAACTGAACCCTTTATTTCGCTCTCTGGGGTAGACTGTTCTAGTTCCACGTGCTATGTCTAATGGATGTCAGTTGTCAGTTATCTCCTGTTAATTCACCTCTCCAAGTTCTCCACTGCCTTAACCAGGTATTGAACTCACAACTCTTTGGGTCCTTTCACTGGATCTAACCAACATTTTTATCCACTGTGCCATGCGTATTTGTGACAAATATGGCAACAAAGATGAGGACAATAGTCCGAATACTGTAAATAGTGTAAATTATAGTCAGGTTGTACGGTGTTAACGCTCACTGAGTATAAAACTCGGCATGATAAGATCAATATCTACACAGGAAAATATGCAAGTTTTACGGGAAGGAAACTGCAAGATACTGGTATAAATCTCACCTAAACCCGATTACAGGCAAAAAAAAGTACCAATTTTTATGGGGCTTTACAATACACACAGACAGAACAATTAAAGCTACTTATTTTTAGACATTGTGATCAATGACCACAAAAATAGAATGTACTTTCTTATTGACATGACATTCCCTGCAGATTGTAATGTATCTTTGAAGATCTTCAAAAAAAAAAAAAAACTATCAAAATACAAGGATCTTGAAATGGAAATCTCAAAATTGTGGCATATGAAGACGTCAATAATTCCAGTTATAATTAGAGCTCTCGAATTGATTGCAAAAGGTTCCGATAGAGTCATTGAAGGGATTCCTTGTAGTCCATGCCTTAAAGAAATACAAAAATCATACTCACAAGTACAACTCACACATTACGAAAAACTTTATCTATGTAAAATGTTTGTGATCTTAGGTTCTTTAGTTATTGTTTTTCTTTACAAATAATGATCAGTGGAAAATGTCATGAAGCCATTTCTGACATTATGTTCGTGGTTGAAACCGGGAAGGATATGTGTATACAGCAGAAATCAAAGGAACTAATAATAATGATAATAATAGTAATAAACTATTTAAAAATTATTGAAATTGTAGTTTAGTTTTCATGAGATTTTTTGTCCTTTGATTCGACACCATATTCTGTTGATGTGAGAGTGTAAACCACATCTTAAATGAACAAAATAAGATGGCGGAAAGATATATATAAAAAAACGGTGCGACTGAGTAGTGACAGGGATAAAAAAATAATTCCTTTTAAAGTTTGAACAAATCTTAGGATAATAATGATATTTATAAACATTTTAGAAGATAGCTAAGTAAATATACTGCTTCAAAGATGTGCACAAGAATTGGAAAAGTTGCGATTGGAAATAAAATCAACGGATTAAATTCAAATTCCAGACTCAGCCATGGAAGCCATTTTCAGGCTGAAGTCATTGGAAATGAATTGTACCAGTTTTCCTTGCACACTAATCTATTATCAATCATCTGATTTTCTCACTGGCAAATATTATGAAAAATAAAGAAAAAAGGAGAGTGAAATAAAGGCATTATAGTCATGGTAATAGCAATATTATCCGTTTCCTTTTAAGGAAACATTCGACATTCATTGACCGAGCAGCCTGCGTTACTGTCGGTTTAAATATGTAAAATCTTTATAGTGTGGGTTATTCCACTTGCCTTTCCTGAAATCACCGTCGCTAGGAGACACTCTTTAAGCCTATATATAGGAAAGGATGTTGTCACACGTTCTCTTTCCTCTTTTACAACACTGGCTTTAAGATGCAGTCGCACGTGGGGGAAAAGTGTCCCCCGCTGGGGTAGATTCATATTCAATGTCTTACTTTTCTCTCGTGACTTTTGTACTTTTTCAAACACATGTCTATCACGTAAGCCAACACAAATTTCGCGCACGCAGACACATTGTCTAATTTAAATGCTGCATGAAACTAGTCTTTAAATGTTTTCTTCTTTTCTTGTAATTTTAATACTTAACTGTTATCGTTCTCGCCAGTATTGATAGGACATCCTTCCTAACATTTTCTTTGGATGTTATTTTGGTTATGTCATTATTTCCTCAATGGGATTCTTTAGCACCAGTCCACGAGGCTCGGAGAAGAATTGTCCTACACGTGAAACCATTTTGATCATTGATCTGAGAAAGCGGTTGTAGCCAACTGACAGTTTCTGAATGAGTTTGGCGTGAAATCCGTATAAAAAGAAAGAGAGAATGAGATACGTCCTAAGGCCTCCTATGTATAAAGAGAAAGAGAGAATGAGATAAGTCCTAAGACCTCATATGGATAAAGAGAAAGAGAGAATGAGATACGTCCTAAGGCCCCCTATGTATAAAGAGAAAGAGAGAAAGAGATAAGTCCTAAGGCCTCCTATGTATAAAGAGAAAGAGAGAATGAGATACGTCCTAAAAGAGGATGGATAAAAAGAGAAAGAGAAAAATGAGATAAAATTCTAAAGCCCCCTATAGATAAAGAGAAAGAGAGAAAATGAAAGAGAGAGAGCCTCCTATGGATAAAGAGAAAGAGAGAATGAGATACGTCCTAAAGAGATAAAGAGAAAGAGAGAATGAGAGAAAGAGAAAAAAGGCCTCCTATGGATAAAGAGAAAGAGAGAATGAGATACGTCCTAAAGCCCCCTATAGATAAAGAGAAAGAGAGAATGAGGTACGCCCTAAGGCCTCCTATGGATAAAGAGAAAGAGAGAATGAGATACGTCCTAAAGCCCCCTATAGATAAAGAGAAAGAGAGAATGAGATACGCCCTAAGGCCTCCTATGGATAAAGAGAAAGAGAGAAAGAGATAAGTCCTAAGGCCTCCTATGTATAAAGAGAAAAGAGAGAATGAGATAAAGAGAAAAGAGAAAATAGATAAAGAGAAAGAGAGAATGAGATACGAGAAAAGAGAAAGAGAAAAGAGGAAGAGAAAGAGAAAGAGAAAAGAGATACGTCCTAAAGAGAAAATAGAAAGAGAAAAAAGAGAATGAGAAAGAGAATGAATAAAGAGAAAAAGAGAAAAAGAAACGTCCTAAAGAGGATAGATAAAGAGAAAGAGAGAATGAGATACGAGACTAAAAGGCCCCTATAGAAAAGAGAAAGAAGAGAGAACGAAAGATGAAAAGAGAAAGAGAGAATGAGGAAGGGCCTCCCTATGGATAAAGAGAAAGAGAGAAAGAGATAAGTCCTAAAGCCCCCTATAGATAAAGAGAAAGAGAGAATGAGGTACGCCCTAAAAAATTTGATGGATAAAGAAAAAGAGAGAATGAGATACGTCCTAAAGAGAATAAAGAAAAAAAAGAGAAAGAGAGAATACAT